TATTGTTACTCAATTATTTTTTAAATTGAATTTCATTTTGCATTCCTAGAAAACATGTCAATTGGATATAATTTAGAAAAGTAAAAAAAGATTTTCATTGAGACAGTGATTGATTTTTATAGGGGTATTTTTGAGTAGATGCTCCTTTCCTTCCATATGCACCCATAGAAACTAGAGACTTGAAAGGGCTAAGAGGCACTCATAAAAATATCACTAATAACATACTTGGCAAAGTCTTTTCACATTAGATTTTCTTAGTATGTAAATTTTTAAAGGCCAAGATCAACTGTATTTGCATATTAGTTTATGACTGAAAACAAGGAGATTCAAGAAGTAAAGTCCATGGAAACTCTTCTTGGACTAATTTACATTCAGTATAGTATGTAGTAAGTGGTGTCTGAGGGCACGGCTCCAAAGATCAGATCCTCATAAATCTTTGTCCAGTAAGAACTCCCACAGAGATGGAAGGTGCAAGCCACAGGATGGACACACAAGTGCTTTTTGCTCATTGCCATTTCTCACATCATCTCTTTGTTTTTTAATTTAAATTCAATTTGCTAACATATTAGTTTCAGATATAGTTTTCAATAATTCATTGGTTGCTCTAACACCCAGTGCTCATTCCATCACATGCCCTCCTTAAGCCCATCACTCAGTCCCCTGTCCCCCCCCCCCACCTCCCCTTCAGTAACCCTCAGTTTGTTCCCCCGAGCTAAGGGTCTCTCATGGTTTGTCTTCCTCTCTGATTTTTCCCCATTCAGTTTCCTCTCCTTCCCTCATGGTCCCTTGCACTATTTCTTATATTCTGCATATGAGTGAACACATATTCAAATCATTTCTTGTGATAGAAATTGTAAGAGAGCTCATGGCTAAAACTTATCAAATTAATAAACAGTTTCTTTTTTTTAATAAACACAGTTTCTAAAAAATTATAAAGTAAATAAAAGAAAACGCCAACAGGGAAAATCTTAATAACAACGGTCACCCTGCTGTGAAAACTGAGGAAAGGTATTCTTAGCATCATTCTACATAATTATATCTCATTTTTATTAACAGATATTAAGCAAATACTTACTGTATTTATATCCACAGTGGGTAAGTAAAAATGTACATTGTGTGTACTTAAAAGAAATATAACCTGATTAGGGGTGCCTGGGTAGCTCAGTCAGTTAAGCATCTGCCTTCGGCTTAGGTCTTGAGGTCCTAGGATAGGACCTTATAGTCTTGAGGTCCAGGATCAAGCCTCGTGTCAGACTTCCTGCTCAGTAGGAAGTCTGCTTCTCCCTATTCCTCTGTCCCTTCCTCCCTTGTACTCTCTCTCTCAAATAAATAAAATCTTAAAAAAAAAAGAGAGAGAGAACTATATCCTACTGACTGATTTCTCTCTCATTACTTACCTCCTCTTCACACCTTTCTATGTTCAGAGGAGGAAAGCTGGGTGTAACTTGTTTAAATGATAAAGATAATACGTTAATTCATGTAACTGAAAGTCCAGTAAAGGGTGGGCTTGAAGAAGAGCTGAATCCTCGTTTGGTTCCTACTGTTAAGCTCATTCCTTTTTTTTTTTTTTTAAGGTTGTATCTATTTATTCATGAGAGACACGCACACAGAGAGAGAGGTAGAGACACAGGCAGAGGGAGTAGCAGGCTCCATGCAGGGAGCCCAACGGGGACTCGATCCCAGAACCCCGGGATCAGGCCCTGGGCCGAAGGCAGCACTAAACCACTGAGCCCCCGGACTTTTTAGGCTCATTCTTACGGCTGATTGTCCTTCGGGTGGGAAGTTGGTAGTTAACTACTACTAGGACTATATAGGACTTTACATCATACTTAGTAGTGGAGATAGAGTGTCCTCTTTGTGGTAGAAATAAAATTCCTTCTCAGGGGTCCCTGAGGAATGTCTGCTTGCTTTCCTGGGTTGGGCCACCTTCTAATTAATCCTGTGGCTAATGGTTGATCAAGGCCACACTGGGTTCACATGACTGAGAAGAGGAAAGGAAAATGTCAAGCCAGTGATGATCTCTGGGGCCACCAAGGGGAGTCCTGCAACCAGGAAGTCTACAGTCAGACAGATAATTATAAAACAATGCAGAAGACGGCTGGCACTCACAGCCAGTGTAGGGATATTCTTCAAAAGACTCCCAGGAGGAAGTACTGGCCTAGATCTAAAAGAATGAATAGGAATTGAGTGGACAAAGGAGACGGAGAGAAGGAAAAAAAAATTGAGTAGAGAGAGCATCATGTTATAAAAAAGCAGTTTTATTGTAAAACCCGAAATAACAATCAGTGTAGAAGAAATTTCTTGAGTAAAAATCGGCAAGGTAACCACAAGAACACTAGGAAAGATTTAAAAACTGGCAAAGAGACCTTCCTCCCCATACTGTGGCTAAGTTCCCGATGGTTACCTGAATGTTAGGGGAAGGAATCTGCACGCGCCTCTCCAGCGAGCAGTACAGTATCCTACAGAAGGAGTCCGCTGAGGGAGCTCAATTTGCTGTTTAGGATTTCTATGCTTCTAAAAGGAAAGGACTTCATCTACTCAGTTTTTTTCTCTAAGATCCTTAACTTCATACTAAGTACAAAATATGGTCATTGAATCCTGTTTAAAGTCGAGATCCTCGAAGGTTTACAGAGTCCCGACTCCCACACTTAGGGGTGGCATTCGAGGGGCTGTGCCCTTCCGGTAGTCAGGGCAAAACAAACTTGAAAACAGTAAAAACAAATAAAAATAATTTAAAAAGCCCCAAACTCCATAATAAATCCCAAACTCCACATCCTCCCTGTCGTACCCGAGGAAGAAAAGCGGGAGTAAACGTTGTGCAGTCCATGGTCTCTCCATTCAGGGCCATCCCCCGTGTGCACGTGTGTCCACCAGGACCACTTTGTGATTTTGCTGCTACTGCCAAGAGTTTGGTCACGCGGAATTGGCGTGCTTACTCGCCGGGTGCCGGGTGCCGGGTGCTGGGTGCTGGGTGCTGGGGGATCAGGAGACTGGGCCCAGGGACCTGTCCATTGTGAGGCATTGCCCCTGACTCCTTCACTCCTGAGCTCCTCTGGTTTCATCGCCTCACGACTGTACTGATCTGCTTAGGGCTTCCCGTTGCTCTTAGAGTGAGACCAGGCCCTCCTCACAAGCTACAGAGCAAGGCGTGGTCCAGCCCGGTGGCCTCCCCAGCGCCTTGGGTTGTGGGAAGTCCCAGTCTGGCTTTCCTCCTGACCCTCAAAGCTATCAGCTTGTCTCCGCTCAGTGTGGCGTGCCCTCAGAGGGCTTGCATGCACTGCTCCCACCTACGACCCCAGGGGCCGTCCTCCTGCTTCTGGTCATGCTTCCCTTCCCTGCCTCTGCCTGGTCACCTCTCCCCTACTTTGCTTCAAATCGTCCCTCTGCTCTCCTCCGGCCGCCTCGGGAATCCCGAGTTTCCTCCTCTACAGCAGGTGACCGAGTCCGCAGATTGAAGACATTAGACTCTGTGCTTATAGAAGTGGTTACAGGCTGGATTCCATTCCTGGTTTCATTATCAGCCCAGGAGTCAGTTAACACAACTGCTCTGAGCCTCGGTTTCCTCATCTGTAGGCTGGTGCTAAGTTATGGACTAGACGGGTTGTTGGGAGAATTTGCTGAGAATCTGGACTTGCAGAACATGGTAGGCTTTCAATAAATGTTCATAGGAAATATGGTGCATGGTTAGGACGCCACTGCCTATAGTCCCCACACGAACATGGGCATGAATGTGCATACGGGCATGAGCTCGGGGCTGAGAAGACCTGGCTGCAGCAGCTGGGTCCTGCCACTTACTAGTCAAGTGATATCAGAAGATCCATCCAGCTTCTCCGAGCCTCAAAGCCCCCAACGATGACAATGGCGATAACATTGATGCCTCCCAGGGTTGCTATGAGCATCAAGTGAGTTAATATAGGAAAATGTTTTGTAAACCTTGGAGTTAAAAACACTCGAATCTGTCTTTCTATAATTCTGGCTGCTCTCTCAGTGCTTCACTACGTAAGCTTTGCCTCTGCAGTAGGATCCGAAGTCCCCTTGGCTGGACCCATGATAACCTCTAATGTGGGCCTCAGCACAGCAAGGACGTATAATAAGATCTGATGAAAGTCAGACCCACAGGAGTTATCGCCTGCTACCTGTTAGGATGACTATCACGAAGAAGACAAGAGGTAGTTTATTCAAGGATGTGGAGGAAGGGGAACCCTCATGAACTGCTGGTGGGCGTGTAAATTGGTGCAGCCACTATGGAAAACCATGTGAAACAATATCCCCCAGTTTATTTGACAAAGTGACAAGGCCAGCATAACATAAATAGCAAAATCTGAGAAAGACACACAAAGACAAAAAAAACTTCAAAGCAAATCTAGCAGAATTTTAAAAGAGTGAGCCTGGCGATACCCTGGGTTACTTGCAGGAGGCGTCAGACGCCAGTGTTTTAGGTAGCAGAGGTCTAGAAAGAAACTATCGCCAAAAGCCAGGATATTTGGCCAGGGGAAAATCCGTTTTCTCCTTTTGCTCACGTGGCAGACAGTCCCGGACCAACAAGAGGGTGTGTATCAGGGTCACGGCCGGCTGAGTGTTTCCCAGGCTCTGGTTTCCCAGGAACCAGGGGCTGACTCCGGATAGGAGGATTTAACAGGGAGAGGAGAGGCTGAGCTGTCACACTCTCTGGCAGCATTTGCATCAGTGCATAATAGAAAGAGAAAGGAAGCAATGTCAAAAAGAACAACCAGCTAGAAAACACATTTGAACGCACTTTTGGGGAAGGACTTTCCAGAAGCACGAGAACATTGTTGTATGCAAGCGCCCTTAGAGCTCCAAAGGCCGGTGGCCGGCTGCGCGGCCTGGCCAGCTCTCTGTCTCTAGCCACTAGGTGGTAGCTCAGCCCAAGGCTGGGAAGAGAAAGCGAACCGGGTCCAAAGTGGGTGGCAACAGGGAGGCGGGTCGGCAAGCGGCATAAAGGCCAGAGAGTCCTGACTGAGGCTCAGGCTGCCCTAGCACTTGGCTCAGAGGATCCTGTCCCAGGGTGATGGCATTTAGCCAGTGGATGCCAGGTGCCCAGGCTGAGCCAGCGTCCCCGGCGAGGACCCCAAAGGCTGCTGTGCGAGAGAAGAGGTGCGGCGGAGCCCTGGTAAATAGCCGCATTTTCTATTAAAATTGTCTTGGAAGGAATGCAGCATTATGCCTGACTTACATGTGGAAGAGAGCTAACTGGGTATTTAAACAGCTTGATATGATGTTTAAGGCAATACTTTAATTGGTCGACATCTCAGATATAATAGCAAATAGATTACAAGTTAATAAATACTTTTTACTGATGATGAGAATGCTGACAAAAAAATCTAGCTCTATCCCCAAATGTGCTCTGAGTCTGGATAACAAGGCATTTTTAAAGATAAATTATAGGAGAAAAATTGAGCAACAAAGGAATGAAGTATCTTGCTCTATTTGGCAAATTTAAATCCTTTGTTTCTGTGAAATTTCTGAGACTATCTGTCAATCAGACTTTGTGGAGTTTCAAAAGCAGAAGTCCCGGAAAATATTTATTAAGGGAAAAACAGCATTCTGTGAGCTCCAATTTTAATACATATGTGCAACTTAGGTTTACGCATTGAAGACAGTAACTTTTTGCCTGTGATCATGCTCACATTATCACCCTGGTTAGACTCCCTTACAACTAGGGGGACCGAGTCCTAGTGGGTTTTAGAAGTATGAGGACAAATTCTGAGAGGCACCCATCTTTTTCTCTTAGGAGAGAAAGAAGGCCTGCCAGTCCTTCATAAATCTGTTCTCACTTGAGAAAAATGCAGTGCAGTTGCCTTGGAAATATGAAAATCAGACTGCAAGGGACTTTGTAGGTTGTGGGTTCAGGGCACTTCTGAGAGCAAACTCGGGTGCTAGGACAATAAGCATAAAAAGTGAAAGTGTCCTGGGCACATTGAGATGTATGGTCACTCCAGTAAGAGGCATGTGAAAGACCAGGAGCCAAAGGAAGGAAGGCAGAGGAAGCTGATGAAAAAATTGTTTTTAATTTTTTAAATTATTTTTTTTGTAAATTTATTTTTTATTGGTGTTCAATTTGGCAACATAGAGAATAACACCCAGTGCTCATCCCATCAAGTGCCCCCTCAGTGCCCATCACCCAGTCACCCCCGCCCCCCCCACACCTCCCCTTCCACCACCCCTAGTTCATTTCCCAGAATTAGGAGTCTCTCATGTCCTGTCTCCCTTTCCGATATTTCCCACTCATTTAACTATTTTCTAACATTTAACTCATTTCCCACTCATTTAACTATTTTTTATATTCCCCACATGAATGAGACCATATAATGTGTGTCCTTCTCTGATGGACTTACTTCACTCAGCATCATACCCTCCAGGTCCATCCATGTCGAAGCAAATGGTGGGTGTTTGTCGTTTCTAATGGCTGAGGAATATCCCGCTGTATACAGAGACCACAGCTTCTTTATCCATTCGCTGATGAACATTCTAAGCCCGCGTGGGGGGTGGGGCACATGCCAGGGACCCAGGCGGATTGGGGCACCCCAGCCTCAGGCTCATGTGTTGAGTCCATCCAGCCTCGTTCCTAGGTTGTGCTTGCCCTTGGATGCTGTCGTGCTCCTTTGGTAGACCGTTAACCTCTCTGAATCACGAATTCAAACCTGTTTTACAGTAAATTTGTTGCCAAGAAGAGGAACAATGAATTCCTCATTTCACTTGCTTTTCTTGGATCTCAACTCGAATGCCACAGAGGGCAACTTTTCAGGACCAAATGTCAAGAACAAGTCTTCGCCGTGTGAAGAGATGGGCATTGCTGTGGAGGTGTTTCTGACTCTAGGTCTCATCAGCCTCTTGGAGAACATCCTGGTTATAGGAGCCATAGTGAAGAACAAGAACCTGCACTCCCCCATGTATTTCTTTGTGTGCAGCTTAGCGGTAGCTGACATGCTAGTGAGCATGTCTAACACCTGGGAGACCATCACCATATACTTAATAAATAATAAGCACGTGGTGATAGCAGATGCTTTTGTGCGTCACATTGACAATGTGTTCGACTCCATGATCTGCATTTCCGTGGTGGCTTCCATGTGCAGCTTGCTGGCCATCGCGGTGGACAGGTACGTCACCATCTTCTACGCCCTGCGCTACCACCACATCATGACCGTGAGGCGTTCCAGAGTGATTATCACGTGTATCTGGACCTTTTGCACAGGCTGCGGCATCGTTTTCATCGTCTACTATGAGTCCACGTATGTCATCGTCTGCCTCATCTCCATGTTCTTCACCATGCTCTTCCTCATGGTGTCCCTGTACATACACATGTTCCTCCTGGCGCGGACTCACGTCAAGCGGATAGCAGCTCTGCGTGGCTGCAGCTCTGTGAGGCAGACGGCCAGCATGAGAGGGGCCGTCACCCTGACCATGTTGCTGGGCATCTTCATCGTGTGCTGGGCTCCGTTCTTCCTCCATCTCATCTTGATGATTTCCTGCCCCCAGAACTTCTACTGTTCTTGCTTTATGTCTTACTTTAATATGTACCTCATACTCATCATGTGTAATTCTGTCATCGACCCTCTGATATATGCCTTCCGCAGCCAGGAGATGAGGAAGTCCTTCAAAGAGATCATTTGTTGCCACGGTTTCCGAATACCCCGCAGGTTCCTTAGCAGGTATTAAGCAAGAAGTTCTTCCTTATGCACCTTCGTACAGCCAAGGAGGGAGCCAGAAAGCTGGAAATCAGAAGTATGCATCCTGTTAATCTTTATTCTATGTCTAAGTTGTCCTGTATTTCCCCCTGCGGAAGTTGTTGGGTCAGACAAGCACGTGCCGCTTACCCATTTGGGGAATGGTGTGTGACCGTTTCTTACTGTCCCATCTCATTCCTGATTTTTCTCCCGGTCCTACCCATTTCTGGCGGTCTGGTCTATCCTCCATCAAGTAAGTCTGCGTTCAGGGAAGATAAAGCCTTCTGGACGGAGATCTCAGCGGGAGGAACAGCTACCACTGAAGTCATGAAAGACAAGCTGCGTGGTTACTTTCTTTCCCCAGGAGCAGCTCCGTCATTTAGCTTGATGCTCCCGCGAGTCACCCGTGCTCTTCAGGGCAGAATTAAATGGTCTAATTCTTTCCATTTGAGATTTGATTCATTTGTTATGGGACATCTCTACAGCTCTCTTTTCCTGAACTTTTGATTTTCTGCATTATGTCCGTAATTGTCCAAGGATGGAATTGCCTTAATTACACTTCTGTCAATCATGTTTTCGTACCTGCCCAGACATGAGCCTTGCCTCATGTGGTGTGAAAGCCTCTTTGTCTTATTCTCACTCGGTCCAGGGTTTCCAAATCAGTGTTTTGGGGTCATGTTATGGGCTCTAGGTGCCACCCACCCTGCATATAGCACATGCCCATAGTCAAGTTATCTTTGACCTTCTCAGACAGAATGTCTTGGATTCTGAGACCCCTTCACTGTATACTTTGCACATTGCAGCCTGGCTCGGGCGCCGGCCATCAGGTGCCCATCTAATGCATAGAATCTCGTCTTCTCTGATGTAGAAGGGAGGGAGAAAATTTCAGGTTAGGTCTTGACTCTGCCACCGACAGGCAATGTCACCTTAGCCATCTCATTTCAGTTTTCACATCTGTGTTGATGTCACTGGATGTCACTGGATGGTCATAAGAACTGCATGAAAAAGTGTGAGAACATCTTGAAAACTTGTGAAGCACCATAAAGATTCACTACTTATTTTAAAGAAATGTTGCTGATGGTTGGGCCTCTGGGTGGCTCAGTCAGTTAAGCATCTGCCTTCAGCTCAGGTCGTAATCCTGGAGTCCTAGAGTCAAGCCCCGAGTCATAGGGCTCCCTGCCCAGTGGGAAATCTGATTCTCCCTTTGCCCCTCCCCCGCTCCTTCTCTCTCCCTCTTTCACTCATTCTGTCTCTCAAATACATAAAGTCTCAAAAAAAAAAGTTTTAGATGGGATAAATACAAGGGGAGGATGCAGAAGGCAGTGCTCACTGGTCAGTAGTTGGAACAGTGACCCAGAAAGCAGGAGGACTGCTTTGCCACAGAGCAGTTCTGTTACCTTGGGCACATCTCTAACTGCTTGGTCTCAGTGCTCTTATCCAGAGTGAAGAGCTTGGTCCTTACAGCTCTCATATTCCATCCTATTATTTTTGGTGTTAATATCTTCTCTTTTGTTTTGGATATTCATGTCTAGACTATTCCCAGGGAAGGAAATATAAAGTATAAATAAAGACCATGGGGGTCACACAATGATGAGCTGTTGAAGTCTATGGGAGCAGAGGAACTTCCTGGGTATAGTTCCTTTTTTTTTTTTTATAAATTTATTTTTTATTGGTGTTCAATTTGCCAAGATATAGAGTAACACTTCCTGGGTAGAGTCCACACAAATAACTTATAGACATGATCCTCCCATTTGGCAGCTCAGAGTAAAAACAGAACAAGACAAAACAACAACAACAAACTACCAGTGCTGGCACAAGCAGGAAAGTGGATAAAGTATCCAAATCTTTGGAAAATGGCAAGTTAGCAGGTTGTTGACAACTGAGGTGTAAAAGAATAGCAAGCTCTTCAAATGCTTCCCAACATTTTAGCAGAACCTCCTTGTTTCTACTCATGCACGTAAGTGATCTCTGCATAGTTATGATGGGAAACTGCAGTCCGTGATGTCTTTAGCAGTTTCTAGCACAGAGTAGGCACTCGACTGATGTTTGTTATTGGTGCTAAACAAATGTGTACTTAATCTGCTGCCCATAGCAGATTGCCTGGTGGCACTCTGAGTGCTAACTGAGGTCAGTAGGGCTCCCATCCTTGGGTAGGATCAAACTTCAGCTCCAGTGGTTTACATTGGCTCCACCGGGGAATCCAGTTCTAGTTAGGCTCTCTGCTCTGGTGCTTCAGGGCTTCAAACAAGGTTTTTACCTTTTCTATAAAGGTCTTTAGGGAAATACTCAAATGTCTTAATGTCTATATATTGAGACAGAAATAATTAGTATTCAGATGTGTTTTCAGTTGGAAGGAATACATGTATATAATGACATGGCAAATATCTGTAAGTGAGCCAATCCCTGGAATCCCAGCACAAAGTCCCCTCCACAAAATGAACTGTGTAATTATTGTATGGTGTTATATAGGAACTCCTTCTGCTTATGTAGGGACTATATTTGATGTAAAATTTTATGTGTTCAAAGAAATGGTTAATAAAATGGAAGGACTAGGCCACCCTTTTGAACTGATTGTTCTGTTGTGTGATATTCAGAGCATTTTTGGTCTTCTTGCCAATTTGTCAGCAGCTGCTGCAGAATGAGAAGGTACATTCATTAGTGATGAAGTTTCCTTGACTGTAGTTATTATCTGTATGATGGCCATTTCTCAGTTCAAAATGATTTAACTCCTGAAAATAAAGTGAAATTGTAAACTTGACATTATATATAGTCCAAAAGTCTGACTTTTAGTAAATAAGTAACTATCTTGGGGATAGCACCTATTAGTATTCAGTACGGGGCTAGAACCAGTGGCCATTAGATAATGTCCACCATCAAAGGGATTACAGGATTACAGGGCATAAATTTTTTTCAAGATGGGAATATTTCAAGATACAGGGAAGCTTTGCCCACAATTCAAGATTCTGCATATAATTAAATGTGAATTTATGGGGCATAGACCATACACGTAAAATGAAGGCTCTCATACTCTTCTATGGCTGTAACGGCAATTCTCACTGGGGGAATGTAGGGTGCATATCAGAGGTTTGGAGTGAGGGAATAACTGAAAAGGTAAGTAGTCTCTACATCAGGCCCAGAAGTGGCTCCTCTTGATCTGGAGACCAATAAACCAAAAGGATAATTTATATGATACTTCCCCCCAATGAATAATGGTGGAACAGGAGACCACACACACACACTCTCATTCAAGAATGGGAAAAACGGGAGATGACGCATTACACATCCAGGGCTCAACAGACCCTGCGGCTACTGCTACCATATTGGACAGCACAGATCTAGATGTATTTCCTAGGCTTGCTGTATGTTTCTCCTTTTCACTCCTTGACTTTTTCTTTCTTCTTATCCATGTATGCTTTGAATCTAACAGGCTTTGGGGGAGACTCATGCATTTAGTTTCTTTTTTTCTTGAGCCATTTTGTCTAACTGAAGTCCTTGACTCCAGATTTTTTGAATTTTTCTTTTCCTTAAAGATGTGTCCAAATGTATCACAAAGAATCTTATTTATTTCTAAAACTGTGATAAAATACATATAAATACATATAACATGAAATATGTCATTTTAATTTTTAAGTCTACAGTTCAGTGGCATTAAGTGCATTCACAGTTGTGCTGTTTTTATTCATATTTGCATTCAGTCACTTCTTTCCTTAGCTCATCTCTTTCTTGTAGTATCTCATTAAATCCCCCCAATAACCAACACACACTACTGATGTCCTGTTTTCCAACGTATCCCTGTATAATTTTGTATATTTTCCATAAGTCAGACTCTCTTTTTCTTTACCACATAACATGCACTGCCATCCTTCCTTGTTCTCTATGTACCATTTTAAGTTTTGATTCAGCCATTTTTCTTTTTTCTTTCATTTACTTTTTTAAAATTTAAATTCAACTTGTCAACATATAGTGTAACACCCAGTGCTCATCCCATCAAGTGCCCTCCTCATTGCCCGTCCCCCAGCTACCCCATCCCCCTGCCCACCTCCCCTTCAGCAACCCTTTGTTTGATTCAGCCACTTTTAAGCAACAATTTCTGTACTTGTCAGGATAGTCGAGGCCAGTGCTTATCAAACTTCAATAGCCATGAAACATGAGGAGAACTTATTAGAATCAGATTCAGATCTGGTGAGTCTGGAGTAGGAAGTTAGATTTTGCATTTTTAAGAAGCTCCCAAGTGCTGTTGGTCCAAGGGCCACACTTTGAAAACCAAGATTATCTTGTAGAAACAAACAGCTCTCCAGTCTCAGTGACTTAGCATAACAAAAATTTATATTTCCTCCATGTTACATGCTTAGCACAAATTAGCAGATAGTCTCATTGTAGTTACTCAGGGACTCAGGGTGATGGAAGCTCCATCCAGATATGTGAGTTTTTATTTCTACTCACATTTCCTTTTTTTTTTTTTTAAAGAGATTTTATTTATTTATTCATGAGAGACACACACACAGAGAGAGGCAAAGACTCAGGCAGAGAGAGAAGCAGGCTCTATGCAGGGGGCCCAACGTGGGACTCAATCCTGGGTCTCCAGGATCACATCCTGGGCTGAAAATGGCACTAAACCATTAGGCCACGCGGGCTGCCCACTCTACTCACATTTCCATTGTCAAAATAAGTCCCATGATCTAACATCAAAGTGAGCTGGAGACATTGAACAACTTCGATCATGCGCAGCCATAATGCCAGTAAGTGTGGCCATTCAGTGTCTTTGTCCTCAAGGAGCTGATAGACTAAGTTCAATTATAATAGTCATATATACAGGAAAGTACATTCTATGTAATTATAAATGAACTCGTGTGGCTTAGAGTGATATTTCAATATATAATAAAACAGCTATTTGGTCTCTATTCTTATTCCTGGTACAGTATTCCTCAAGCCTTTGGAATTCCCTAAATAATGAGAGCAATACAGGTGTCCTTTGTTATGTTAATGAGCTGACTTTTAGAATACCCCTAAAGGATTCAGAATTACCTAGGGCTGGGGGCTGGTCAACAGAGGAATCAACCACGAGATTAGAAGGTTAGAATGGTTCAGTCCTATCTCCACTATCACCCCATTCCCTGACCTCCAGGAAGTGAGTGGGGTGCCGGAGATTGAGTTCAATCATCACTGGCCAATAATTTTATCAGTCACGCCAATGTAATGAAGGCTTTATAAAAATCCAAAATGACAGGCTTTAGAGAATTTTCAGGTTGGTGAACATGGGAAGGCTGTGGGGAGCAAAAGAAAATGGAAGCTCCCTTTTTCCGTGCCTTGTCTTATGCACCTCTTCTAACTGGCTCTTTAATTTTCTTTTCTTTTTTCTTTTCTTTTCTTTTCTTCTTTTCATTTCTTTTCTCTTTTCTTTTTTCTTTTTTTCTTTTCTCTTTTTTTTCTCTTTCTTTCTTTCTTTCTTTCTTTCTTTCTTTCTTTCTTTCTTTCTTTCTTTCTTTCTTTCTAATAATAAGCCAGTAATCTCATAAGTAAAATGTTTTTCTGAGTTCTGTGAGCCTTTTTAGCAAATTAATCAAACCAAAGGAGGGGGTTGTGGCATCCTTCTATCTATAGCCAGTGGGTCTGAAGCACAGGTGACAACTGGACTTGCCATTGGTGTCTGAAGTGAGGTGGAGGCAGTCTTGTAGGAACTGAGTTCTTACCTTGTGGTATCTGATGTTAAGTCCAGGTAGTTAGTATCAGAATTGAGCTGAATTGTAGGACGCCTTGTTGGTATCAGAGAATTGCTTGGAGGTGTGTGAAAACATAGACACATTGTAATTTGTCTCAGAATAAAAATAGTATATAATTTATTTATAGCTGTGACAAATGAGGGGTATGGTGGATTCCCATATCAGTAGCACTGATACTCACAGGTGGTTGTGGGGTACACAGAAGAGTTTTGGAATGGGAATGGGATGATTGGTTTGGAAAAGCCCCTAAGGTGATTAGAATATATTTGTCTCTTTCCACCTACTCCATGTAGAATCACTATGTGAAATTTGAGAGAAGAAATATTAGATTTAAAATTAGTAAAATCAAGGGAGATTAATACATAAGTATGTTTATAAATCCTTGAAGGAGGGTTGGATTTTCATAGTTGGAGGAAAGGGGAACATAGGATGTGAGAAAGCATTAATTTTCACTCAAGTATTTGTTAGTGGCAAGATAGCAGACTAGACTCAAGAGTTTATGTTGGGGCAAGAGTGGAAAATCCCTGGTATGTACTAGGAACTATAGAAGTGGGATTGTATGGGCCTTGAAAGCCAAGAAGAAGAATCTATTTTACATTTCTCTGGTAGGAACTAGGGAGAGCATTGAAAGTTTCTCTTTCTTTTTTCTTCTCTTTTAATAAACATGACCATGATCCAATAAAATCTGTGCTGGCAAAGTAGTTTGAGGGTGACTTTGCATTAACATTGGGAGGGAGGTAGGGAGGCTGTTACAATTGGGCAGAATGTGGGACTGAGGGCCTAGAACAGGCATGCAATGGGATGCAGAGAACAGAAGTCATCTAAAGGAAGTCATCAATTGCTTGATATCCAATTAACTATCAAATTTTATACAAAGGGACTCAGATTCTAGTTTATTGGATATCTGATTATTGGACTGTTTGCCTACATTATGTTGGTTCTTCTTTCAGTGTCCAATAAAATTATGCTGAGTTTTTGGCCTCTAGATTGAATGCTAACTCCTATTGTTCTTTTTCTGATATTTTTAATATCACAATTTGCTGTATGTCTGCCCCATTCCTCCTTTTAAATCTTCCTTTCTTCTGTTTTTTTTTTTTTTGCATCATTGCCCTTACTCGAAGAACAAATATACCTTTAAAGCCTTTTAAGTCAAGTTCTTAAAAAAAGACTTGACCACGTTTTCCACGGACTGACTTTGTCTTTACAGTGATAATGCATTTTAAGTAGAGAATAATACAATTATTATGTGTTGATGCATAATAAAGGGAGGCTTGACCCTTCTCTGCATTACACTACAGTGTACCCCAGTCATATCAGCACATTCTGGGTCACAATTACATTACTAGAAATAACGAGGCATGAGAGCAGGAACATGTAAAAGCACCCTTAAAAACTTCCCAACAGAAACCTGATAGATTCTTAAGCTGGTTCCCTATTTTTGTCCCCTCTTCTTTACCACTAAATACCTTGCTTACTTTTTCTTTCTATCAAGGTTACTGGGATTGACAGTGTGGTGTCAATTCACAGCACCCTGCTGAAGTACCACTCACAGTTCCGAACACCTTTCTCATTCTCTGCCCTCTTGCCTCCTTTGTAATATTTAAAACTATTATCTGCTTCTTAAAGCTTCCTTCCTTAGCCTACCTAACACTCCTTGTCCTGTTCTGGGCCACTTCCCTGTGCCAGTGTCACTACCTTCTCTTTGATCTCTCCCATTGCCCACAGTTATAATTTTTCCTTTTATCTTATACTATTTTTTTTCTCAGAGGTCTCATCAGCTTCTGTGGTTTTGATTTTTATCCCTCAGCATATGAACCGCAAATCCTTCATCTCTAATCTTAATTTCCCTTCTAAGCTTCTGCTGGTGTTTTGGGAAAATACACATCAGAAACCTTCAAAAACAGCACTGTTTATCTTATAAGTACCCAATCCTCACCTTAATCTTCAATGATCTCCAAAATATTATTCAATCTTCTAGTCATCCTACACCTTAATAAGGTGAGACTCCTCTGAACATGACTTATGCCTTTCTGCTTCCAGATT